AAAAATCAGCTGAATCAACGCAATTCTTAAGTTTTTTGGGAGACAACTTAATAGTTTTGTGTTCAATCCACTTAAATTTGTAAAAACAATTGAGGTAACTTAATAGATTTGTGTTGAAGGAATTGTGTAACCCAGCATTTCTTACAGTATGACACTTTATTAAACCTCCAGCTGCAGGTGAGAGACGGAGAGATGGATCAGACATCCAGCACTTCTCTATCCTTTAAATCCGCCTGGACACGCAAGACCACGGTCCACTCGATCCTGTTCAACTTCTCCAGCGTGATGATCGACGCCTGCAGAGCCATCAACTACATGAGCAGGAGGAAAAGAGGGAAAGACCCCAAGAGGACCGGAGACTGGGGCAGCGCTGACAAGAACTAACAGATGCTAATTTATTTAAACCAATAAGTTATTTATTTATTAAGGGCATGTTAATTTAATATTTATAAGTGCGTACTTTTAACTTATTGAACTTAACTTATAATTATGAGTGCTATGTTTATGTTCCTGCAGCTGCTTCCTTTTTTATTTAAGAACGTTTCAGTGTTTTGCACAATTTCTCTAATTGGAACTTCAGTTTTTATGACTGGATTGCAAACAGCACGGTGGCCTCACAGCACAAAGGTCACTGGTTTGAGCCTCGGCTGAGTCTGTTGGCATTTCTGTGTGGAGTTTGCATGTTCTCCCTGTATTGGCGTGGGTGTCCTCCGGGTGCTCCGGTTTCTCCCACAGTCCAAACACATGCTCTGTAGGGGAACTGAATTAACTAAATTGGCCATAGTGTATGAGTGTGTGAATGAGTGTGTATGACTGTTTCCCAGTACTGGGTTGCAGCTGGAAAGGCATCCACTGTGCAAAACATGCCGTAATAGTTGGCAGTTCATTCCGCTGCGGCGATCCCTGATAAATTAGGGACTAAGCCGAAGTAAAATGGATTACGTGATCCCGTTTGCATTTTCCACGTAAAGCAAATGATTATTAGGCATAAGGAAAAGTCGGTTTCATTTTCTATGCAATACATTTCTTTACATTTCGGAGAGAGGTCATATTTTTGTAAGCAGTCTGATGGTCTTACGCCTGCACTTACTCCAAACGGATGGCCTCTAGATTGCAAAACTCAGTGTGACTTCTGAACCGCAGTTCTCAAGTGCTTTTTATGCAGTCCTCCACTTTTTTACCCCTTTTTAAAAGATTTTTCTCTATTTAGGAAGGGGAAAAACTGAGATTCAGATTCTCGTAAATGATTTCCCCCTCCTTCACCAGTTTTCCAAAAGTCATCACTTTTGAAAGGACTGAGGTTTTAATACTTTTATTTACATTTTATTTTTTAAGAAAATAGGTATGGCCTCACTGACTTGTCATCACAATAGAAATTAAAATCAAATCCTGTTGATTGTAAATAATAATAATAATAATAATTCCTTACATTTATATAGTGCTTTTCTGGGCACTCAAAGCACAGGGGAATCTCCTCATCCACCACTAGTGTGCAGCATCCCCCTGGATGACGTGACGGTAGTCATTTTGCGCCAGACCGCACACCAGCTGATTGGTGGAGAGGAGACAAAGTGATGAAGCCAATTATGATATGGGGAGGGTTAGAAGGCCATGGTAGACAGAAGCCAGAGGGCAGATTTGGCCAGGATAAACCAGGGATTTTTAACGACCACGGAGAGTCAGCACCTCGGTTTAACGTCACAACAAACTGAGCAGTATAGAGCCCCTGTCACTATACTGGGGCATTAGGACCCACAGAGACCACAGGTTGGGCGCCCCCTGCTGGCCTCACTAACACCACTTCCGGCAGCAACCTAGCTTTCCCATGTGGTCTCCCATCCAGGTACTGACCGGGCACAGCCCTGCTTAGCTTCAGTGGGCGACCATGTGAGAGTTGCAGAGAGCTAGCTGCTAGCGAAGCGATCAGTAGACTAAAGAGATTAGTTGACTACTATTAAAGTTGTGTAAACCTGTTGTTCTTAAATAAAAAACTAAAACCTCAAGAATTTGTGTTTCTCATGATAATGTGAAAGCAAAGATGTGACAGCGTAATATTGACACCCCAGCACAATGTTTAGAGTCAGATCCAAACAGGAGTTATTTATTTGATTGACAATCCAGATATTTGATTGAGGGAGTGTTCATTTAATGTTTAGGAGTCTGTGCTTTTATATTCATGAATGCTGTGTTCATCTGCCTGTGCTTTTTTTTTAATTGAATAACTTTTGAGTGTTATCGATATTCGTATGACACTGAAAACTCGTGCAGATATTTATAAACTTGTCTGCTTTTATTGTAAACTGAACCAAGCACGTTTACCTCCTGATCTGATTCACCTAAATCAGGGGTTTTCAAAGTGTGAGGCGCGCCTCCCCTGGGGGGCGCTAGAGCATGTCAGGGGAGGTGCGGGAAAAAAATATTATATAATAAAATATAATTATTAAGTTTAATTATTATATGTATTTTTTATTATATTTAAACGTTTTAATTAAACAAAGCTAAAAAAAATAATATGTCAAAAATAAGAAAACCCTTTTTTACCCAGAAGGCCATAGCTTTGAATTCGCTTCTGTTTGGCAAGCCTGCCAATACAGGTATATGCCTGCTGACACAATGGATCGGTTTCTGAGACCCCCCGATTCAAAGCCTTCTAGTTCAGGGCTTAAACCCAAAAGACGACGATATGATGGTCAGCATTTGAGTTTAGGATTAACGTGGACAGGACCAGCTGATGAACCACGACCTTTATGTGTGGTTTGTCAAGATATTTTGGCTAATGACAGCATGAGACCCGCTAAACTTCGACTGTTTTGACTGGGATGGACAGTTCTTGGATCTGTTCTGTTCATATTGAACCATCATCCTAGTTTTAAAAACGTTATATTAAAATACTTGTTATTACTCTGTAAATAATTGCACTTTCATGCAAATGATGATAAAAGTGAGTTAACAGTCTGACATCTGTCTGTGTCTTTATATAAACTGTATATATATATATATATACATGTATACTGTATACATACTGTATACATACATATATTTACATACTGTATACATACATACATACATATATATAAATATATATATGTGTGTGTGTGCGTGCGCGTGTGTTTGGGAGGAGGGGGGTGCCAATGGATAAGTTGTGTCAAAAGGGAGGCCCACTGTCTTAGACTTTGAAAAACCCTGAACTAAATAAATAACTGTAATTCATTTTGTTTGTATTTCTTTTGACAATGTGAAAGCAAAGATGTCATATTTACATCCCAGCACAACCTTTAGATCCAAACATTTACTGATTTTCCATACATTTTAATCATTCATTCATTTTCTTTCCCGCTTAGTCCCTTTATTAATCTGGGGTCACCACAGCGGAATGAACCACCAACTAATCCAGCACGTGTTTTACATTATTTAATTCCCCTAAAGCGCATGTGTGTGGACTGTGGGCAAAACCCTGGAGGAAACCCATGTCAACATGGAGAGAACATGCAAACTCCACACAGAAATACTAACTGACCCAGCTGAGGCTCGAACCAGCGATCTTCTTGCTGTGAGGCGACAGCACTACCTACTGCGCCACCGTGTCATCACAGCAATACATAATTAAATTTTCCTTCAGATTAGTCCCTTTATTTATCAGGAGTCACCACAGTGGAATGAACCACCAACTTATCCAGCACATTTAGCACAGCAGATGCCCTTCCAGCTACAACCCTGTACTGGAAAACATCCACACACACTCATTCACACATACACTATGGCCAATTTAGTACATTCAATTCCCCTATACCTCATGTGTTTGGACTGTGGGGGAAATCGGAGCACCCGGAGGAAACCCACGCCAACACGGGGAGAACATGCAAACTCCACACAGAAAGGCCAACTGACCCAGCCGGGACTCAAACCAGCAACCTTCTTGGTGTGAGGTAACAGTGCTAACCATTGAGCCACCGTGTCACCTTATTATATAATTATGGCACCGTATTTCTAACCTACTGAATTAAACTGATATTTATGAATGTGATATTTATGTGCCTGTATTTTAATGTAAAAAGCATTATCGATATAGGTTTGACACTGAACATTCAAGCTGATATTTATAAACTTGTTTGCGTTTATTGGAACCTGAACACAAGCACATTCTTTCACTGTTTACATTGACATAATTTGATTAAATAAAAAAACAACAGAGAGCTCACACACATCATTGTGTTTCTCAAGACAACATGAAAGCAAAAGTCTTAAAAGGGTGAACGTGACGGTAATATTTACATCCCAGCACAACGTTCAGATCCCAGCAGTCAGAGTCCAAACATGTAAGGATGGATGAGTGTTTGCTGCCTCATTGCGTCTGTGGAGTCCGACAGGAACATCCTCATCCCCAAAGTAAACTGCAATAAAACAAACAGCTCACTGTCATCATCATCTGCTCCCTGTGCTCAAACACTGACAGCTTCACATGACAATCTCACCTCAGGACTGTGGGTTCAGGCATCCCTGGATCAGCTCCCCGCTTGAATCCTAGAGCAAAACAATAAAGATCAGTATTTTATATATGGCTATTTATATTGTTAATAATTTGCAGTTAATGTTGTTCTTTGGTTTGTTCAGTTTATAAACAGGGTTCTTACATCTTTTCCAACTTCAAATTCCAGCCCTATTCAAGCACTTTTAAGGTGCAATTTAAGCTTTTCCAGCACCCAACAACCACGCAGGGTAAATTACGTTGGTCACACTTTACAATAAGGTTAATAGTTAATGTTAATTAATGCATTTACTAACATGAACAAACAATGAACAACACATTTACTACTGAATTTGTTCATGCTAGTTAACGTTAATGAAAATACAGTTGTTCATTGTTAGTTCATGTTAGCTCATGGTGCATTAATGTTAACAAGCATGGACTTGGATGTTAATAATGCATTAGTAAATGTTCAATTATGATTAATTAATGCTGTACATGTGTTGTTCATGATTAGTTCATGTTAGTGAATGCATTAGGATTAAATCATCGGATTAAATTCGAAAAAGTACATACAGCATATATAAACGTAA